TACATAACAAACTAACAATAATTAAATTTTTATTTAAAAAAATAAACAACATCAATTCTTCTTGAAAATAAGTGTATCAGCATCAATTTGCTTGCTGATTTTACTCGAAAGACCGGGTGGAATATATAACTGCGCTTAGAAAAGTCTAGAAACAACTTAAAAACTAAGAAACAGTGTATTTTACATAATGCAGAACCGTAATTATCAAAACGAACAATAGGCGTAACAATGCGTAACTATGCGCACTAATATTCATTACCGAATTTTCTTTTTTGTTTTTTTTTAATTTGTTTATTTATTTATTTTGCCGTTGATAAATATTACAAAAAAGAAATTTCAATAAAAGAAAATCCTGGCCGGAACATGAAGAAGACAAGTTGTCTAATCACCGAGCCCCGTCACACAAAAATTTACATGCACAATTAATGATAAAAGACAAAAAGACAGTATAAATACAAAAACAAAAACAAATCAAAAACTTCAGCAATAAAATAATTTGTTGCTAACAATCTTCCAGCAGAATAATTTTAAATAAAATAAAAAAGTAAAAACGACAGAAAATCATGAAAGTTATAAAAACACACACAAAAAAAATGCGTTGTTTAATTAAGATAATATAACAAATAAAAAAACTTTTTACAAAACCACGTTTTTGTAATGAACTAAATATAGAAATTTTTGAAAATGAAAACTTTTGATTATGAACTCTTAATAATTACGATAATATTTGTAAAATTGTAAACGAAAAAAGTGGTGCGCATTTTACGAAAAAAAAGAACCGAAGAAGGAAGCAATAGTTAAAGTAATTAAGGACGACGATGATCATTTAAAGTGACAAGATGCGCACCACGTTTTTCGTTTAAAATTTTACAAATATTATCGTAATTATTAAGAGTTCATAATCAAAAGTTTTCATTTTCAAAAATTTTTATAGCCACAAGAGAAAACTATTTTCTACTTTTTAGTTCATTTCAAAAACGTGGTTTCATAAAAAGTTTTTTTGTTTGTTATATTATTTTTTTCTTTTTAGTTTTTGATGGTTGGAATTTTTTATTCAAAGCGACGCGTCAAATTGTGGCGACGCCTTCAAAAGTTTTGCCATAATAAATTTTATTTTGCTAAAATTGTTTAAAAAACTTGGCAAATCATGGTAAAAGTAGTATAAAATTGCATTGTCATCGGGTTCTGAGCTATAGTAAAGTTTCAGAGCTCTAGCTAATCGAAAAGTGGGTTAAAATTGAGTTGCAAATTTCCACCCGGACAAACAAACAAACAAGAAAGCGAGCTAATAAAAACGTGGTCAAAAAAAGCAATATATGTAAACATAAGTATTTGGGCTGATTATTTAATATCATCAAAAATAGTTATCTTTTATACTAATGATTTGAAATTATTTTAATTAAAGCCAAAGAAAGTGTTAAGATTTAATTTATTTTTAAGTGATTTAGTTTAAACCTTTAAATTGTTTTCAAAAAAGGTATCTGAAATCTAATATATCGATGTCCATGTTCAGTAAATGCCGTTTTGAATCATCCTTTAAACTTTGCAAAGTGCAGTTTAAAAGGAAGTTTTTTTTTTTACTAAAGATTGGAAGAAACTTTTTCCAAACTAAAGGTCCCCGATATTGAATTTGGTACGAGCTTAATTTAAAAAGGTTTATGGGAACCACAAAGTTGTTCACTCAAAATTTAATTAAATATGTATGTGAGATTTCATTAAAGTAGGATTGAAATGTAACTAGAGAAAACCCAAGTTTTGGTTTAAAAATAAATAACATTACTTGATGAATATTAAGTTTGTAAATATTTAAAACTCCAAGCTGACGTAAGAGAGATTCGCTTTGTGTTTTTCTATTTGCCACAAATACTATCTTGCAAGCATGTTTTTGTTTACTATAAACTTTTTTGAGTTTAGTGGAATTAGTGCTACCCCAGGATATGTTACAGTATAAAAGATAGCTGTGTATAAACGAAAAATATAAATTTTTTAAAGACTCGTTATTAAGAAAAGGTTTTGTTCGGTATAACATAACAATATTTTTTGAGATCTTAACTTCAATATATTTAATATGAAATTTCCGTGACAATTTTTCATTTAAAAGCACTCCCAGAAAGTTTGTAGTCAATTTCCTTTTTATTATTTTATTATTGATTAAAAGATTGGGTAGTTTTAGTTTTATTAATAACTTAGATAGTTAGTTCTGGTAGTATAAGTGGAAGATTCTCGAATTAAGATGGTTTAGCAAACAAAATATATTTTCTTTTTTCAATATTCAATAGAAGTTTATTTGCTATGAACCACTCATTCAGATATGTTAGTTCTGTGTTTACATAACAAAAAGTATTTTTTAAATTTGAATCAGAAAAGAAAACATTAGTGTGGTCAGCATAAATAATATAATTAAGTATTTTTGATGACAAATAAATATCACTAATAGAAATTAAAAACAGCAAAGGTCCAAGTATTGATCCTTGTAGAGCTCCATAACTTATTGACTCAAATGGGGAGCATGTTAAATCAAATGGTACTACTTGTTTACGATTTTCTAAATTACATTGCAGCCACTTTAAGTTAGAAAAAGCAACTCTGTAGTTACATAGTTTGTTGATAAGAATCCTGTGGTTGATAGTAACAAAGGCTTTAGATAGATCTAGAAATATTCCGAGATTGTAACTATTGTTTTCAAATATATTTAGAATTTGGTTTGCAAGATCAATTACTGCATGCTCCGTGGAATTGTTTTTGCGAAGCCAAACTGTTTATGATAAAGAATAATTTTAGTTTCAAGATCATTGTAAAGCCTGTTATGCATAATACACTCTAGTTTTTTAGAAAAATAGTATGGATTTTGGTCTTTAGTTAGATTTTATCAAATCATTGCGATTTTGTATATTGGAATTATTTTTGCTAGCTTTAGTTGGTCAGGAAAAATGCCGTTTCTTAGGAAAAGATTAAAAATTGAAAAAAAAGGTTTATCAATAATATCAGAGACCGCTTTTACAACATATGGGTTAATATCATCTAGACCCGCACTCTTGTTTTCAATATACTAATTGCTAGCCGAAGTTCATCAAGCAGAAGCTCCGACTCATCCATTATGAAATCTAATTTTTTCAAAAAGGATTTAAATGATTTACTCCCCTCAGGAATTGCACCGGCTAGTTTTTTTCCTATATTTATAAAAAATCAATAAATGTTTCTGCAATTTCTTTATTTACAAACGCATCTTCTATATTACCATCTCTTTGCAATCTTTTTGGGAAGTTATCAATTTTCACATTTTCCAAGCCTGTTATTTCTTTAATTTCATTCAATGATTTTCTTGCATTTCCAAATATTTTTAGCAATAAGAAATAGTAATTTTTTTTGGATTGCTTTTTTAACTTTTCGAAAGAATTTATATGTTTTTTGTATTTTATTTAATTTTTGTAGTTTTTTTTTTTTTAAATTTTGGGTGAAGTTTTTTTTCTTTTTTGATGACTTAATGAGTCTTTTCGTTATCCAAGGGACTAAGCAAATTTTTAGAATTAATAATTTTTTTAACTTTTGGAAAGGGCTTTTTCGTATTGCTTAGTAAAAACGCGAATAAAAAATCATAACCATTATTTACATCATTGCAATCAGTTAATAGTTCCCAGTTAATTTCTTGTAAGAGGTCGCGAAAAGTGACGATTGATTAATTATTTATTTTTCTTACATAAATAGTTTTTGTTTCTTTTTTTTTCTCAGGGGTTGCTGAATTTGTGATCAGAAAAACTGGAAAATGATCAGTGATATCTGTTTTAATAATACCACATTGTATTTTAGCTCTTGTGTAATTATTAGTAATAATATTATCGATAATGGATGCAGTTGTTTTAGCCACGCGTGTAAGCTTGTTAATTATGAGAAAAACGGTGTATTGCAAAAATGTATATATAAAACGCGCAATGTGGA